ATGGGCAGTATTGAACCTCTTAGGAAGTTACTTGAACAGATGCTCATGGACAATACAATAATTTCAACGCTGGCAGCTTCAACGATGTGCAGATCTATCCAAAGAGGTACACCTCAAAGATGTTATCTCCACTCCTTTGGATCTTAATAATGAATAAAATGTTGTTAGATCTAGACAATAATAGGGTACATGTCTTGGCCTACGCTGATGATATGGCTGTTGCGGTTAGAGGTAAATTCCCGAATACCCTCGCATACCCTATACAAACAATATTAAACGACATAAATCGATGGGCCGTATCGTGCGGTCTATATATATAGCCAAGCGCTTTCAAAAGTACTCAAGTCTCTTAGGGTTTTGTCAAAGATAGAGGATGGATGCATTGATCGCTTAGTGGAACTAACATTCTATTTCACCGTAAAACTGCAATGGGTTCCAGGACATAGTGATATTCCTGGTTACTCTGAAGTAGATAAACTACTCAGAGCAGGCATCACCCACTGGCTTCTTGTAGATATTTTAAGTAGCAGAGATAACAGGTCATTGTCTAATTGGCAGATATAGAAGTAGACTAGGAACTCCATATGATGACTACTATAAAATCTATCAGCAGGTAGAAGAACGCAATTATCGGTCGTAGGTTTCTTGGCCATATTTCGGGAGGTTGCACAGATAAAACTTTTTGCACTAATGAGCTTCATCAGAACCCAGAGGTCGTTCAGAGAAGAGACAATAGAGTGAGCGAAGTGGGTATAGGCGTCTAGATGCGTCATCAGACAGACAGTCTACCTACTTATCTAGTCCTTTTCCCGTGAAAGTCAGTTATACGTAACCGAAATGTAACCGAATTTATACCTGTTGGTCGGCAGTGTTTTCCATCGGACATAAATTTCCTGCAATGGTATAATTTCAAAAGGGATTTGACGGCGTTTGAAGAAAAGGGAATTAAATTATCGGTTAAAAAAATCATCTTCAACAGAGAACTATAGTCTGCAATTTTGACTGCTTTGGATATGTCCATTGATCGTTTTTGAACTTTTTAGACGTTGACTTAATTCTGAACACTCTTCTTTATTCACAGCACTTTAAATTTTATATATAGAAGTTGTTAAGCATTTAAGTAGGTACATAAGTAAAAGTCGATTCTGATAATAGTAAAATCACAAAAATGTACGAATTTCTAGATTTAACGCGAGACAAAGCCGCAGTGCACTGTGACTGAATTCTATAAAAATTATTATACCCAAGCGAATTGTAACAGTAGTTGCCTCAATTTGGCATTACAATTGTGTGTCGCCTTTCGTATGAATCGAAGTTAATGGAGCTCTTTGAAGATCTATTCGATAGAAGGGAACCATACATTGCATGGCGTTCTTCGGAGGTAATACTAAGACGTGCCCGTGCGGTCGGTACGAGTCGCGTTGGATATTTAAGTACAAAATCACTGAACAGCTTACTGGACCGCCGACTTGTTCTTTTATAGTTGCCTTGTTCCTTATGATCCAATAAGTGAAAACTATAATTCGTACGACTATTCACTGGCCAATTTTTATTTGGTACATCCACGTAACTTACAGAGCTAGCTCTTGTTGGAGTGCGTGATCTACGGCGGTAGCTATGTGATCTTCTTAGATTGGAATGTCGCCTAGGCTTGTGGTCTCTACCAAAGAAAGCGCGGTACTCATGCATTGCTTCAACAGGATTCGGGAATGGGGTTTGTGTTTGTAATGGAATATTTGATTGTTTTTGGGTTTGTTTGTCTTCTATGCCGCCACCAACTGTCGCATACAGTTTATTTAGATCATTCAAAAAACTATTACCGTATAGTTTGTTCGGTTTGTTCGCAGTATCTTTGAAACTATAGATAGAACGCTTTAAACGTTCCAGATAATCACGATAAATGCGACAATTGTCAGCCATGCGGTTGTGGTAATCACGATAATTATCACCCATGTGGTCATGTTTGCTGTATTGGGTTTGCGGACATGGCGGACAGTATGTTAGCGGTATCTCAACCATGCTTTTATAACTTTCGTAATCAACATCAAGTCGTTGTAAAATACGCGGCGAGCAACCTGGTATAACTTCATGAGTATCACGGCGACTCTTTCGGCAACTTTTGATGTTCTTGCACAAACAGCCTCGAGGTTTTCTCTTCGCACTTGCTTTTTGTGATAAATCAAACGAATTGTAGAGATCCGTTACACTCGTGCTTTTCATCTTCAAATAGTGACCCGTTAGGTGGCGCTTGTATAATTTATACTCATCGCTACCACTACACTTGTTGTTGGGGAATAGTCCACAAACGGAATGGCTTCTGAAGTATTTCTTGCAACAGCAAGGGCATGTCCAGCGATGTTGTCGGCAACAGCTCTTCACACTGCTTGGTTCGCTTAGGTACGTGGAAGAGCAACTCGTGCAGCGTCTTTTGGGGTAGCTGTCGCAATGACTGCAGCTGTGGCAACATTCACACATTTTTGTAATTATTTATTGCAATTTTGTGTAATTTTCAAGAGAAAAGCTGTTAGAAGTTTAATTTTGTTATTTTTTATTGTTTATCAAGCTTCTATCATTAGAAATATAAAAAGTGTTTACATACTTGTTGTAAAGTTTTAGACTCGATATGGTTTTTGAAATTTCCAAGTAATGAAATAGCTATCGAAAATGATTCCAAGTTGTTAGTCTTACATCTTATGTCAGAAAAATAGGCTTGAAGAAATCTAAACAAATCCATATTTACATTTCTGTGCCTCTTTTTTTCTCCTTATAATTGTCTTTATGTATTACTATCTCCATCTCTATCTGAAGCTCCCATACTAACTGAGATTTACTTAAGTATGTTAACATCTCGAACTCTACATACTCCACACAACATTCTTAATCCGATCACTGTTTGACAAGGGAGCTCTGAACTCAAAGTTTGAAATGTTGGTAAAGGTGACTTTGAAATCCCAATCTTGAAAACAACCTTTAGAAAACGTACCACTTTAATTTGAGAAACAGGCATGCTCTTTCTTAGGGACGGAGTAACCATTTTTGGGGAATGCTTTTCATTTTTGATCGGTAACTGAGTTACCGCTCCGCTAAACGAAAAATCGAACCTACATCACCTCCAAAGCGACATTCAGTCCGCTAGTGAGTTTCGACAATTAGAATATTCTGAACTAGCCAGGTTATACAAGATATACCAGATCAATAAATTTGTCATGTGACTTTACAACATCGTTACTTCTTGGCGATCGTATAACCACTACTGGAGATTTCCCTTTAATTTTGATCGGTACGAAGGCAATGTTGAGCGTAAGAGCTTAATTTCAACCCAGTGACCTTAACTCTGCTAGTGAATTTCCCGAATTGAAACCTCCTGAACCATACATGATGTATCAGATCGTGGACCAATTTTTCACATCATCCTTTTTTAGGTTTTTTTCGAAACTAAAGTTCTAACATTACTAAGGACAGTAGGTCTATGTATGGTGTGACAGCCGCTCAATATAACTTAAACTAAAGTTCTTAAAATCGTTAGCTTCTGAATCACACTCTTGAGAATTATAATTTCTCTTGTTTTTAGAATAGATCAGTTCCAAAGTTTTAAGACCCCAAAAAATCTGTCGATATAATATTATCGACATCCTTAGCAAGTTGCTGAGTTTTATTTGTATAAATGCACATTTGCACCCCGTATCTTATTTTATTCTTCACAGAAGTAAACAAGAAAAGCATACATACATATGAAAACACCTATAGTTTGGGTGCATATCTTGGCTAACTTAAAAAGAAATTTACCATACATGTATATATTGTTGGCTACTCCTTGGGTAGATGGTGCACTGGGTTTATATTATATTTATACTCCCTATCGTTTAAGAAATATACAATTTCTCCTTTCTTTAGCTTATTAACTAACCGATCCACGCCGATAAAAATCCATGTCGCTTGTTTTGAGGTTTTAAAACCCTCCCAAAACACGAATGGTTAAACAAAAAATAGCTTAAAGCAAATAATAAAGTATTAGTATACATTTCAGTAAATAATCCACTTTAATCATCTGGTATACATTTCGAAAAATTTTGGATTCACTTGATCCCGAACCGATCTCCAAGAGAACCTCCGAAAAAGGTGTCTGGCGGGGAGAAAGATTTGTCTGCTTAAAATTATCTCTAACCAACAATTTTTCTTATTACAATAGTTGAATACACGCTTTTTGTACTTATGAACTTCATCAGAAACACGGGGTGGATCAGGGAGGAGACAATAGAGTGAGCGAACATTAATCCCGGTGGTGGCACCATGGGCCTAGGTGCGTCGTTAGACAGCCACTCTACCTACCCTACCTAATTAAATACAAGTAATGATTATATATAATGATTGATAAAAATTTTGGTTTTTAAAAAAATGTCAGCTTCGCAAAAAAAGGTTGTTTTTTATGTAAAATAAAACTTCAAAATGGCTTAAAAAATCGAAATATTATCAAAAATATTATTCCTTCGATCATTACCTGACAAATATATCTAGGAAAGACGTGTTAAAACTTTGAAGTCAATCGGTCCAGCCATTTCTGAGAAATTTTCCTAACCGACTCTCAAACCATCGCTTGGAGAAAAACGCATTGAAAATTTAAGAAACCAATGCACTAAATTAAATTTTGTTTACTAATATGCTTATATCTCCAAAACTACAATATTTGCGGATCAACCACAAGTTTTCGGAGAATATTTTTAAATATATGTATGTACAATACATTCGATAGATACGCAAGAAAAACGGTTTTTGAAATTCACAAGTGGATATATCACCTTAATGCAATTAGAAAAGTAATTATATAATTTTTAGTATATATGTAAACATATTTTCAACATTAGATTCAGCTATTTATGAGCACCTGTGGAATATTACACCATAGCACCATGGTGTGTGTCTTGGCTCTTTTGCTTCGGTCTCATATAGTAACCAACATTGGAAAAAATCCTTAGCCAAGACACACAGTTTTCAATCTGAGTAAATTTTTTTCGGTAATTTTTTTATTGAGTGAATTTCTAAACTTGAATTTTATTGAGTTTACAAATGTTTACATTTTATTTTTCCAGCGCATAAAATAATAAATAAACAAAACTATGCATATTTACATGCATGCATACATACGAGTACATACAAGTATATGATGATCTCAATGATGATCCTCAAAACCATAACTAATATACTTACATACGTACATATATAAGCAATGTAAATATGCATGCATGCCACACCAGGTCTGACATAAAATCAGCTAAATTTCTTACTAGCCTTACTAACCTTGAGCCGACCCAAATATCTAAGAATCTGCTTCGGCGAAGTTTTGAAATGACGCTTCTGAACCGTATGCAATTCAGTAGGATACCTAAATGATTGACTAGATGACTCAGCGGAAATAGGAGTATCATTTACTGAATGAAATGCCGTCATTCTGCGATTGGAGCTGAAGAGGGTACCTCTATCCGTAAGCGATTTGCTAGCGCGTGGCTGAATAAGTTTATTGTGCCGGACATGAGGTGTGACATTGAGGAGTGGCGCAGTCAAACTACCGAAGAATCCCTCAAATTCATGCTCCCCGGCTGGTTGGCAAATGTAATTCTTAAAGCCGAACGCAGCGTCCTTGCCACCGCCAACATTTGCATATAATGTATTTAAGCTGGCGAGAAATTCTTTGCTCAACATCTTTTTAACATTCAGACAGGATTGGCCGTCACTGCTGATGTAGCTAAGTAAATTTGTGACGAACTCATCCCTAACACACAGATTATTGTCATAATAGCCACTGCCTGCCCACTTCGGGTAAAAAGTGAGCGGCACATGCGGCAATAAGTCGTACGGATCGCAATTGCATTCGTTAAATAATGCTTGTTGCACGAGCAGCGTGCGCATGCGCTGAAAATCGCAGTTTGGTGTTTCGGCAAGCGTGCGCAGGTAGCCACTCTGACACTCGTTTGGCTTCTCGATTATAATTTCAGCCGGCCGCTTTACTTTCTGTTGTTTTTTCTTGCTTGTTTTCCTTTTCTGCTGGTTTGTTGTTGTTGCGTGATGCACAGATTTTTCGTCTTGCAACGGCTTTGCTGTGTGAAGGTTTATCATTGAGGCAGGCGGCTTGCGCGCACGTTTTGCTCGTTGCCACAGCAGTGTGTTCAATTGTTGCTTCAAATTTTTCTTATAAAGATCCGTTGGGGAGCGTGTATAGCATTTCCAATCATCGTGGTTGATTTGGCGCGGCCAAATGCAACTCGAGCAATTGCGTGGCAGCATTGCTGTGTCACCGCAACAGTTGTTGCACATGCGATGCGAGTAGTCGTGACAATATTTATGCATTTTTGTACTTTTATTATTTTAGGCAGAACTTTTCTAAAACTTTTGATTTTACGAAAATTGTAAATATAAATTTTTTTGTATTCCGAAACTGTAAATTTTTAAAGAAATTTACCGAGAAGCGAATTTTGAATTTTTAACGCTCGAAAAATAAATTTTGTTTATTTATATACGGATGCGTCAATTCTATTCCTATGTAAGAAGCTTGTACACATGCAACAGAACTGGCAAATATGTTAGCACACGGTTTAAGATCTAGAATATTTGATTGAAAGCAACCTATTCACGTACATTCATAATCACTATAATCTGATCGCATAAACGAATTTCAAAGTAAATCGATAGGTTAGGTTCAATGACTGATACTCAAAATGGGGAAAGTAGTCCATACTATGTGTAGTCCGTTGTGTAGTTCGAACAATGAACTCCCGTAACTAGATCTAATCTCTCGTAAGTCGACGAAGCTTTGAGCTCAATAAAAATCGGCTTTAGCATTTAATTATATTCCTAACAGCTCGGTGGGATGTCTAAAGGGTGAGTTCCTAAGTGTTTAAGCTGAGATGTTTCACACCTCGCCTTCTTCCATACAGCTTTTACAGCTGGCATCCGTTAAGATTCTCAACCTTACAGCGTGAACGCCGATAGACCAGTTAGAAGACACAACTAGCCTTACTGAGTGTAAAGTGTTCACTGGATCTCTTGTGATCGACCTTGGGTCAAAAGGATCTGGCAATAGCGCGTAAAACATGCTCATCGTGGAGTTATGCCGATATCTACAGGATACTAAAATTTAAAATTTTATTTTAGCTTTTAAAATAGACTCTAAGAATACAAAATTATCCAGAGCTGCTGAAAATTATTTGTGGAATATTTTCTGCCTCTGCAACAACAACTTATCCTGGCTTTGTGAGCCATTTACTGAATTTCCAGATGAAGCTCTCGCTCAGATTGTTACCAATAGCGAGTTGTTTTTACCGTTATTTTCGAATGAACATAGATAGCGAAACGACTCTACAAGTTGGGTGAAAAGTTAGTTCCTCTCACAAAGAAATAGCACTATTAGCTCCAAATTTTTTTTCGCCAAATTAGTGCATTTGTCTGTCTTGAGAACACATGCAAAGCTACAAGTCATTCTGTCATATCAGAGTATTTTTTAATATGGAAAAAAATTAATATCGCGCAGTGATTAGATTCTTTGTTAAGAAAGGTTTAAAAGCAAAGGAAATTTATGAAGTGTATAAGGAGTCCTCACCTTCAAAAAACCACACACTCACCTCGCTATACTTTAAAAGGGCTGATTTGCTATAGCAAAAGGTACATCTGTGTATTACTATAATTAGTTTGAATAATTTCGCTTGTTAATACATATCATCAAAAAGACCAAACACTTATTGGATTGAGCAGATTCATGCGCCAGGTGAACCCTATCGTTAGAAACTGGTGTCTGATTTAGTAGTGACATCACATAGTCAAAGAGTTGGTAGTTTTTACTAAAAAGCCAAATTCTTAAGGGGTAATATCCATTCTTGAATTAAAACAATCGGTTATATGTATATCGCATATATATCAAAGGTACATATATTTGTGTAAATACTACGAAAATCTGGCAATTAGTTTCGGAGTTAGGCGCGTATTTGTAAGAATCTTTTAACTTAATGTAATTAGCTCCCAAAACTTTAACCCTTATGTTGGTAACCAACTTTACCGAGGTCTTTTAGCTACCTACGATCTGAGTATTATTATTATTTTGTTTATTTTTTCTTAAAAAAATTTTTCTTTAAATATTAATAGTAGTTAATTTAAAGAAAAAAAAATAAAATAAAAGAAGTAAGGAAGGGCTAAGTTCGGATGTAACCGAACATTTTATACTCTCGCAAGTATACTTTCAAATAGTAGAGAGTATTTTATACTCTCAAATAGTATACTCGTTTGAGATTTCTTTGTGGATTGACTGATATTTTCGGTAGAAGGTCAACTATAGGCACTGAGGTTCACATATTTAGTACTTAGGGGCTTAAACAGTTTTGGTTCGATTTAGACAATTTTTGGCCACAAGGTGGCATACTTTAATCGCATTATTCACGCAAAGTTTTATCCCGATACAGTCATTGTTGCCTGATTTGCATAGTGGAAAGTGAAAGAATCAGATGGAATTTAAAATGGTGTTATATGGGAAGTAGGCGTGGTTGTAGTCCGATTTCGCCCATTTTGCACTATGGTATAGAAACATGAAAAGAACGTTATGCACCGAATTTGGTTGAAATCGGTTAAGCAGATCTCAAGATATGGGTTTTCACCTAAAAGTGGGCTGTGCCACGCCCACTGTCTAATTTTGAACGCGGTTCCTATTAAGTCATCTCATACCATCCCAGAGATAAAATTTAATGTCTCTGGCGTGTTTAGTGCCTGATTTATCGCGCTTTTAGTAGTTTTTAACAGTACCGTTATATGGGGAGTGGGCGGAGTTGCCACCCGATTTTAACTATTTTCACACCGTCAATAGAAGTGCTAAAAACATTTGCTTCCAGTGAATTTTGTTATTATAGCATTAGCGGTTTAGGAGATATGCACATTAAACCTATTAGAGGCGAGACCACGCCCACTTTAAAAAAAAAAATTTAGTCTTATATCTTATTGCGGAGCTTAGTTATGGCAATTTATTTGTTTTTGATTAATGGCGTTTTGTGGGCGTGGCAGTGGTCCGATTACGCCCATCTGCAATACCAACCGTCTCACGGTACCAAGAAACATGTCTACCAAGACGGACAGACGGACGGACGGACGGACGGACAGACGGACAGACAGTCACCCGGATTTCAACTCGTCTTTTCATCCTGATCATTTATATACACATAACCCTATATCTAACTCGATTAGTTTTAGGTGATACAAACAACCGTTAGGTGAACAAAACTATTATACTCTGTAGCAACAGGTTGCGAGAGAAAAATGAACTCACAGCTTTCATTCAAGTTAAAAAAACGACGATTTGAGATATTAAAATGAAATATTGATTTTTTTAAACTATTCACACAGATACACCGCGGTGAAGACCGGCTAAAGGATCAAGGAAATTCAAAATTTTTCAAAATTAATCCAACTAAATTAGTTTAATTAAAGAAAAATTCGTTTTATCTGACTTACAAGTGGATAATTTTTGGAATGGCGGTTCGGAAAATTTAAAACATCGTCGAACCGTAACTTCTGTTAGATTTACGGGTCTACAAGATTACTAAACTTTTTCCAACTTCAACTTTACACTCGCTATTAAAAATAAGATAAGGTCACATTCATTGCAATTCCAGTTGAAAGCAGCTTCAAATGTTTCATATTTAAAAAAAACGCATCGTTTTTATTTTCGTAGTCAATTTCAACACAAGCATTATTCACTAATTTAAAAAAACTCTCAAAACCCATACCAAGTACTAACAAGAAATTTACAAAGTTTTTCATGCACAAAATTCCACTAAACTTCAATCAGTCTCCGAGATCGCCCGATAATTATTGACTATCTCATCGTTGAGATGAGAAATTCAATAATAACCGTTAGATCCAGCCACTAACTACTAAATAATTTAGACACAAGCAAAAATTAATATTATTTTTGTTTCCAAGATGTACAATAAGGGAAATTGGCGTAAGTAGATTTCACTGTAGTCTTAGGACCATCATCCGTTAGTTTTCTGCTTAGATTCAAAACATGACGTGCACTTCTATCAGAAAGGTTGATAACTTTCGCTGCTTTTTGCGACGTGCTGGGTGCTGTGACCGGTTCATACCAGAATACTGGTACACTCCTTCTATGCTTATTACTGTTATTGCTACTCAAACGATTTGTTCCGTTTGGTTCCTGCTCTTTGCTGGACTGTCTCTCTGCCGGTTTCTGGAATACAATTGGTAACTTCGTCTTTTTGCTTTTCACATTGGTATCCTTACGCAAAGTACCCGTATGTTTTTTCGTTTCAATTGTTGGTGTTTGGTTGGCGCGGTTTAGCTTGTTTGGCGTTTCAGCAACCGCAGCACGCCCAGCACTCACCCCCAGCGTCCACTTCATTCTGCCCCTAGTTTTGTCCGGTTTTACAGTTTTCATTTTGAGTTTGGTTTGTGTTTGCTTGTTGGTGCGTGTCGTCTTATTGAAGAATACCTCAAATTCATGACGTATCTCCGCAAGTTCTTCTGGCGTACAGTGTGACACAGTCGACTTCGTTTTGCTGCCCAAGCCCCCGTTAATATCAGCGTATAATTTATTCAAATTATTTATATATTCGTTACTCTTCGATGTTTGCGACTCGTCTTGTTCGGATTCATGCAGTTGACGATCGATATTTTCTAAGAACTCCTTTTCCATATCATGCCGTTTCTTCGAGGGATAATACGTAAATGGCACATCGGGGCTGTCACCACGATTTTGTTCATCACAACATTCGGTTTCCTTCGGTTTAAATAATATGTAGGCTAAACCACCGCCATTGAGATGGACTTTTCTACCCAGTTTACTGTGTGAACTTTTTATTGTTGTTGTACTGCGTGTCGAACCGCTAAATCGACGTTTACGGTTTTTACGTCGCGCCGTCTTATTTAAGAAAAACCGTGCACCCTTCTTCAATAGCTCCGACTGTGTTTTGTGCATATCCATTTTAGCTGAGAAACAATTGATTTTCAGCGACTTCCATAGCGGTGGTTCGGTCATGCTGCTGGCTTCCTGCTGCAAATAGTGACCAGTTAGACGCCGTTGGTATAACTTATACTCGCTGTTGGGATCATTCAGCAGCGGCATATTCGGATGATTCTCCGCGTAAAAGTGTTGACATGGTGGATAAGCTTGTTCATAATTATTGTAGCCTGTATACCAGTTCCAATTATTATAAGGACATTGATTGTACCATGGTGTCGCGTGATAACCATCATATGACCATTGGCCATACTGTCCATAGGTCGAGTGCCCCCAAGAATATTGGTTGCCATTGTAACCATCTCCCATACATTGATCAAACATTTTTTAAATTTTTTTTACTTAAATATTTTCACTTTTTAAATTTTTTACAGATAAAGACGATATCGACATTCTTTTTTACAGAAAATTTTCACAAATTGTGTCAATTCAATCATTTCGTTTTACAAATTCCATGAGTTTTTTGTTATAAAACTCTACACACATGTAATGGGGGGAACGAAAAAGTGCAACGTGCTTATTTCTAAGAAATAACATACAGTGCGAGAAAAAATTGCTGTTATATGAATCAGTCTGGATTAAGTCTTTAGGTAAACTTTATCTTTTTAAAGACAGAGAGACATTTTCAAGATATCTTTTTGAGTAACTTATATCTAACAGTATTATTTGAAACCAAAATTTTAGAAATTTTCAAATAAATATGACTGAAGTCGAGGGCTCATAAACTAGAGGTTATTGAAACACTCTCTTTTCAAAAAAGTTTCAACATAGCATTAGCTTTGATAATGTTATCTAGTCTAATCTATCGAAATACGTAATAATGTTTCGAGACTTTTAGACATTTTGTTAACCAAAACAAGATCTGGATCATGGAAAGTTTTGAAAGTATTCACTTTAAAAGATGCACATTTTAATAATCTCTTAGAAATCTTGATTATGAATGGAACTCTGAAACTTGAAGGATAACTAAGAGAAATTGGATGCAGTGACTCTCAAGAGAATTAATATGTGTATCAAATCTAAGCACTTAAGAACCTGCAACATTGCGAATAACATTGTCCAACTAAAAATATTCGAAGAAATGCAACTCTACAGCTTTGGATTTTCAAAATCTCTGCTTCTTACTCGACAAAATCAGTAAAAAAAAGTTGAGAACCTAATTGATTACTATAATCCATTTCAACTTCCCAACAGAACTTGTTACATTGCTCCGACTGAACCCGAGGAATAAGATTTCGTTAACTGTACGGTACGAGCGTTTGCAATTTTATCGATCTCTATGGCGAAAGTAAAATACATATGAAGAAATAATAGACGGGGGTGAGCCTCTATTATCAGATATTCTTCATCTCATTACACCCTGAACACAGTTTTTCATAAAGTTTGTAACACCCAAAAGGAATCGTCGGACAACGATGACGATCTGAAGCCATTAGCCGTTGCCTTATGTACGTCTTTCCGTATACTATACACGAACTAGTTTCTCAGTTTTTGAAATATCGACCCGAAATTTTACGCACGCCATTTTTTCCTTAAGAGGCAGAATCGCCATAGTTGCCATACAAACTAATCGATTCAAATCCAAGAACTTGATTTGCCAAATAATAACTTACTTATTACCTAAGCCAGGCTACAATCTCCGCATAAACTGGTTAGATCGGATTACTATAGCAAGCTCTTCTATAGAAAGCTGTTTTATTTCACAAATTATATTCATGAAAACTGGAATATAATTATCTCTTTTCTGTGATATTTGTTCGTTAAAGCATTTTTTACTTCAGTGGACTTTTTAGGCATAATTATAATATTATGATGTTATGCATCTGTCACTTTAGAAACCCAAGCAAAACTACTCAGAGAGGTAGGAATAGGTGAAAGTTCCTTTACAGGTTTCTAGAAAGGAAGCATATTTTTTTTAATTATACCGAAAGGAACTTGATGGATATTTTAAGTTTCTGAAGAAGTGTATGAAAAAAAAAAATTTAAACACCATACTATGGATTGTTGAGCCACTCTACACCAAAAGAAATTCAAAACACTGACTAAGATCTATTGCTTTCGAAGAGCGCCCTCTTAAGTTTTGGAACTCAAGGTACACGCTTAAAGAAATTTAAAAGTACGACAAGCAATCATAGATATTAAAAAAGAAACAAGAGTCGATTTCATCAGAAGCTTAAAGCAATAAAAATATTACTCTGCCCTCAAAAAATTTAATTCGCCAATATCGACTTATCGAAAAGCAGCCAGCTACCCTTATAATAAACTTACCAAAGCTGAATTAATTTTGTATAAATGCGAATGCAGCTTTTAACAACTGATAATAAAAAATAACATTAAAATCAAATAATGCAAAAAAAATTATTAAAATATATTGAAGAAAATATCAATAATATTGAGAATGATAAAATTTATGATTGCGAATAAAATTGCAATACCGTTCACACCAATTTACCGCAAGTCATAAAAAATAATTTGATAATACAAAAGTCATGAAAAAATTGTGTACGAGTATGTGTGTGTGTTAGGGCAAACAAGCGCAATCCATAAACGCGGCTTAATAATAGACCCTGAAAAGCGTTTTTATTTGGCACTTAAGCGACTTACAATCGAACAATACACGGCGCATTTAATTGCATATAAACACATTCCACTTTATAGAAATACTCTATCGTGCTTTTATTGGCGAATTTTAAACGACGGCAAAACAAACACAAAAAAACTTAAAGCTATGGACGTGGCAGTCGGCTTTAAAAGCTAGCCACTGCACTATTCCTCCTCGATCTCCTCTTCAACTTGTGCCGCTTTGGCGGGTTTTCGCCGTGATGGACCACGTGTGCGCTGTGGCTTCTTGGTTTTCGGTTTTGGGTTCTCCAATTCCTCCAGTTCGGCGTCGGTCAGACGATCCTTGTACCAGTCGGCGCTGTAATGAAATGGCGAATGTGAATAATTATAAATAAATAAAAAAAGTCAGCAAACTTTGCATTCAATAAATGTTTCAACTACCATTCAGGCACGTTGCGCGACCAATCGCAGTGCTTCTTCTCCTCATCGAACACTTGTCCCAGCTTGCAGCCGTTGCGGCGCGGTATCTCACCATTTACACACACATAGAAGTATTGGCAGTCATCGGGATCGGCGTAACGTGGATGTGTGACCGCCACCGACTCATTCACTTTGGGGCATTCGAATTCGAAAATGTCCTGCGAATTGCAACCCTTCACACCGACCTCATCGGGCCATGTGCAAATGCCGGTTTTGGGATTGAACACCAGACCCACGGGACAGGTAATCATATTGAATTGTCCATCGACACAGTAGTAGAATTTATCACACACACCCTTCTCTTCATGACCGAAGTAGCCGTTTTTGCGTGGACAATGTTGTGAGGGCTGAGGTGTCTCTGTGGAGAGGAAAAAATAAAAAATATTTAAGCACAAGACATTTATAAAAAATCGTTTGAAAAATAGCTATCAGAACAAACCAGTTTGATAGTGGTCTTCGAAGACCGAGCTTACTAAAAAATACATTATCAGCTACTAGGGCTTTTAAGACCTCGATGTGGTGAAGCATTAGATTGAAACTTGAAAAGAACTAATTGTAAAATTAAATCAGAAACTTTTCTAATGCGAGTCGCCATTACACCTCTGTTAATGAGAATAACATCAAAAAAGTTAAAGAAACAGTGCTTGAAAATCGTAGTATTGTTGGTATTAGGATCTCAAAATCTCTTATAGGTCGACGTAAGAAAACGTTTGGGGAATAAAGCGTGTCAATGCTTGACTCGTACCAAAATACCTGAATCTTTTGTAAAACCGAAATTGAGTAGAGGTCGTAACAGAGATATTTGACAACGTAGCTGAGAAACTTACATTCATCAAGCGTATCACTACTGGTGACGAGACCTCGGTTTATAAATTGGCAACGAAACTGTCCAACAATCTAACGAATAGGGGTTTCAAAAATGAGCCGTAACCGAAAAAATCAATATTCGCTGAAAGCACCGAAGGCCATTCCAGCCAAGATTTTTAAGCGTTGGTATCAGTATATATCAGTCCGGGTCAATATTGATCAGATCGGATTAGTTTGGAATGTGTGTTAAGAAAGTGTCTTAGAGAACTTGAAAGGACTGTTTCGTTAGATTTAAGAGAGGGGTATTGCTGTCGAGTAGGTCGAAGAGATGTAGTGAAGGCTATAGTACCTTTTGTGAGAGGTTTTCTTATAATGTGAACATCTTAAGCAGAAGTAAAGAGAAGCATAATCGGATCCATTGAAAAACCGAAAGATATTAATTTGTATATATTATTTTACCAAAGATGGACTTGTTCTTTAGTCATTATAAAAGGGTAACATGAGCTGCTTAGAATATTTTTAGACAATCGAAACGGTTTTTTATTTGTTGTTACACATTTTTTGTGTTACTGAATCGATTTTTCGGATTTTTCCTACAAACACATACATGTATTGTGTATGTGAGTATGTGTAATGCGCCAATTTGCCAAAAATAGACTCAGTGAAAACTCGCAAAAAACCGAAACCCTTAAAAACGGTGAAACGGACAACAATTGCTGCAGCAAAAACTGTCAGAAACAAGAAGCCATCGTAACCCTTATGAGTGGACCATTAGAAAATCCTGTGTGACGGTAGTTTTTAATTTTTATTTTCAAAGCAGTAAAACTAACAAAAGCTGGCGCTACGCTATTGGCGTTTTTGTTGTTGTTATAGCACTTTTTGTTGGTTTATTGCAAATTGGTCTATAACGCAGCATAACAAAAGCACGATAGACAAGCAATCACTATAACAACAACAACGAAACAAACACACTGCAGACGACAACAAAAATTTACCGCTAGTCTGTATTTTCTAACTTTACGCATCAATGATGCAACCAACAAAAACAGTAGAGCAAAAGCAAAAGAAAACTCAGTAAAGTGTAGCATATTTATGGGCGCTTATAACTGTATATATGCCATACAACAAACACATACGCACTCATCATCATACGTCATAAGTGAATAAAAAAAACAGCTGCAAAAGCGCTCAAATTAGAAGCGATAAAAAAGTGACTGAGTCAAGTCAAGCAGGGGGGCTCAACTGTAAGCTGGCTTCGCTTGTCAGCTAAATTGCAAGGTTGAAGGGGTTTGCACTGTTTTGGCAATTGCTATGTACAATAACCGGCATGGTGAAGAGAACAAACAATAACAGAGTGCATATTCTTTGTAGTTCAATAGAGCAAATACACGATAACAGCAACAATTGCACTTTCAGTGTAAAAACAATGTAGCCAAGAGTGCCGCAGCATCATCAAAAGTTAGCGGCGTTTAAGCATAATGCGACGCTAATAAAAATATTGCAGTAAAAATATGGAAAAAGCAAATAACTCAGCGTGGCAATAAGCTATGCATTGTGGCATGCAGCCGAGCAGCTGAGTAAGCAGCGAGAGGTTTATGTATTGGCAATAAAATTATTTACATAAAATGTATGTTAAACGGTCCGAGCAGGGTGAGATCCTCCTAAATAACAGCAAGCATAATTGCGAAGAGCAGAATATAAATTTGGAATACAAGTAATAGAAAAGCTTTAAACAGATGTAGATAAACAGGCCTATGAACGGCTCTATTGATTTGGAACATTTGGACTAACTGCTTTGAAAATTGATGCTAACGAAATAAGACGAGAAAAATATTGATGAAAATAAAATTACATTACATGACACGATTTGTTCAAAAGATATTTACAGCAGCGTATTGTTACGGAATACGGGCGACACTGAGATTCAGATGTAAGGCTTTTATCTCAAATAGATTATCATAATTTTTAAAAATACTTGAGCTATCAACGAACTTTGTCGATATTGAGATGGAACATTGGAACGAAAATTAGGAGAAGAAATATAATTTTTTTTTATTTTTGACGAATCTAGTTTATAAAGTATATTTTTCAAGTATTTTATTTTATTTGAATTTTGGTTTTGTGTAAAATAGGATTTTTGAATTATATGTTGATTTTAGTCATTTTTCAAAGCAAATAAATACACGATTTTTTTAATTAAAAAAAAAATATCCTTACGTATAATTTTTAGGAAACATTGTGCTCTACAAGCATGTGCAATGTTAAACATTTAATCCCAAACAGTTCAAAAGTCATGCTATTTCTAAAGGAAATAGGTTTTTATGTGTTATTTATATAGGAAACTTTGAAATTTTTGAATTTCGGAAAAGCAGTGAAAACGAAAAAGTTAAAATTTTTCCTAGCAAAGGATATTTTTTTTCCAAAAGACAATGTAAATTTTGATCAGTAGCTCCGACGAATAAAGACGCTTTACAATTTGTAAGTTTCATCATATATAAAAATATATATTTAGTCCTGCCATACATTTTGTTAGCAAGTTTTCAATGCAAACAGCGATGAGAAATATTTGTTAACCGCACTATTAATCGTTTTTTCCAAACGTCTACCGTTAATCACAGAAATAAAAGTGGTCGTTCTCGCGAGACTCTAATCAATTCAGACATGAAAAAATATTCGCGAACGCTTTCGCAAAAATCGCCTTAAAAAACAGAAAATTATATTTGGTGAAATGGACTTATTCGACATGACCTCCATAAGAAAGCCTACCGTCTGTCAAGTGGTCATCTTCTGACAATGCGCTTGAAACAAATTGGCTCCGCAGTGGCACGCGGTCAACGGCGATGAAAGTATACTTTTTACAATTGAAAAACATTTATAATGTTGAAAAAGTTTTTAAAAAGCAAAAAAGAAGTCGCAAAAAATTGTATTCCAAGGTATTTAACGTGGTCACCACCCAGCTGCTGCAATGTTTTGGTAGGGAGTTGTCTGTAAAGGCTTTATACTTTTTGACTTCTGTGAAAAAGAGGTTATAATTGGGGCAAAAGTGTCCCAGCAGGATGATTTAGAAGTCGCGGTAAAGCAGTTTGGCAATAATCTCTTAGATGGCGAGCATTGGATCTTTCAGCAACATTCTGCTCCAGCACACAAGGCAAAAACTACGCAGCAGTGGCTTAAAAGCAACATTCCTGGTTTCCAAGCTGCAGCTGATTGGCCGTCTGGTAGAATAGATTTGGATCTATTTGACTACAGTTTGACGTCAAAATTGGAGAACTTTCGTTCGACCAGCGTCGTCAATGCCAATAGAAGTGCGTGCAGCAATTGATCAATGACCGAAACATTTGAGGGCTGGTGCAAAGTTGACCATTTCAAATAAAATGTTGTACATCGTTCATTTATTATATGCATTATTAAACGAAATTACTTTTATTAAAAAATTTATTATAGTTGCGTTTTTATGGGAACTGAACTTGCCACAGAACTTATGGCAGGATTAAGTATTGTAGTAACTCAACACAAGATTTAGGCAACCTTGAACTCCGAGAAACCACTTTGTTTGATATAAGCAACCTTCAAGGCGAATTAAGATTACTTAGTACTGGTATGGCAAAGAGTTCTTTTACAAAAATATTTATCTTCTAAATGCAGTTTGATTGGTCAGCTTGAACAGCTATATGCTAAAGTAGTTCTATCTGAACAATATATTCAAAGATTGTACGATCCTTGAGATAACATTTCATTCCAAATTCTTTGAACGCAATTTATCAAATAAAAAAAATGTTCGTCCTAGAACTTCATTTTGATCATTCAGTTTGTATGGCAGCGATATTTTATAGTGGTCCGATATCTGCGGTTCCGAAAGCATTGAGAAACTATAAAAATTGTTACCGCAGAAATTGTAATTACATAAAAAAACCTTCAATTCTTAATAATCATAGTACTCAAACCAGAAATAATTGAACTTTTTTTTGACAAAATAGCCAAGTAAGGATTAAACATACAAAAAATGTAAACAAAAAAAAAACCTTGAACAAGAAATAAGAAAATAAAACTTTAGTTTTTTTTTTATTTAAAAAAAAATAATATTGTATATTTTTTTAAAGGTTAAAAGAGTAATAAGCCAGCTTTTATAAACGATATGAAACGTTATAATTATATTTTTATTTAATTTTAAATTCAACAATTTGTAAATTTAAAAATTAAATTCTGAGTTTAGTTAAAAAATGTTACTAAAACTAATTGAAAATTATTTGTTAATGCATGCTTTTTAAGTTTACGATGAAATTTATTTGAATAATTTCATATGTGATCGCTCAGTAATATTATATATATAATATCTGCAACTCGCAGGCTAACATTGTGTCTTATCTCATGAGCATCATAACAATACACAAACAAACTTAATAGAAGTCAATAAAATAATAAACAATTCAATATTAATTATTTTCTAATCAATCACAGGAGAATTGCTACTAAATTGGCAGCTTTAAATCTATAAATTGTTTAGCAAAGAAATATTTTATATTTACAATGTAAACCGCAACAAATTTGCAATAGATTTAATCAAACAAGAAAATGTCAGCAAATAGCAAATATGAATATTTCACTAAACGAAAAATATTAAAAATGTAATTTAACTAACTAACGGAATTTTTTTTACATATTTTTAAAGAGTTTCCTTAAAATTCTAATAACACAAGTTTTTGGAAATACAAAAGCAAGGCTGGCTTATATTACAATATTTCATATTTTACTTGTAATTTATTGTAACAACAAAAAATATGCAATTTATTTAAATGTTTGCGTTAAAATCAATTTCTTTAACAATTTGACAGAAGCGCCTAAATGCATGCTTTTAATATTTATCAATATAAATATATCATATTCGTATTTATATCAATACATAGTAATATTTACGAATTTGCTATTCGAAACTTTAGCCGGAGAAAGTCTAATCGTCGGACATTTCTTCACCACCACACACAATCACACACACACACACACGCATGCAAAATCGCCTTTGTTTGCCATACTTTTTCACAGCCTGATACTTGACTGTCAATGTGTGTTGAACAACAAACTGCAAGTGACCACAATTTTCCAAGAAGCAGAGCCGAGTTGCATGCAAATCGAATATGCAAATATACAAATACACACACACGCACATAGTGGCAAGTCTGAAACTCAAGCGGTCAAGTATACAGCAAGCTATACAATATATTTGTTTATGTGCGTGTGTGTGTGTGTTAATAAAGTTTGGTGCAAACATGTAAATACTTGTATGCCTGTTTGTTTGTTTGTTGTACCACCACTATTTGTGTTTGTTGTTTTGTTGTTGCTTTCAGCCACTTACATCCTGTCCATGCTCATATTGCTGTTGCATGCAATTTTAATTGAGTACTTACGACTATCTAACTGTACTATATGCTGCCAGCCTTCTACTGCTAAGCAACAACAATTTTTGCTCTTTTCAACTGCTGCCTGCATTTTGTGGTTCTCCATGCAAATATCGTTGCTTAATGCAAGTGTGTGTGTGTGTCGGTGCGTCTTGAGTTAGAGTTTAAGCAATTGCAATTCTTGCCAGAAATTAAATTTTATAAATTTAATAAAAATACAGGGGTAATTGGTTAAATTCAATTTGTTCAAAAACGATTCGTCATATCAATTTGTATGCAATTAGTGCACGAATTTGAATTTTTATTAGTGAAAAAATATCAAAATAAGAAAAAAGAAAAAAATATAGCTATAATACCCTTCACAAATGAACAAGTTTCCAAACAAGAACTTAATTTTGAGCGGTCAGTTTAAATATATATAAAGGTCCAATCTCAATATTTTCGAAAATTGTAGCGCTGCCTTGGATAACAATCTATGCCAAATTTATAAATATAGTGCCGGTTAATGGGTAGAAAGCGTGCATGTCTAATAAACTTAAGTGTACCTTTACCCAATCCAAATAATGTGCGAACTCTCGTAGAGTCAGTTATCAAGTTATGCGAACGCCTAAGGTCCACCTTGAGTGGACTTTCTGCTGTAATTAAGCAAGTTGTCTTCATAACTCCAATCTATAAAAAGACCTGTGAAAAATGCCCGCAAATTGAAAGTGTTTTCTGGAGCTTTCTTCCCGCTAACTGAACTAAGTGCAAAACTTCCACAAATAACACACAAATTTGAAATTAAACTGAAAAGGTCTGCTGGTAAATACGCACGTCAATGTCGATAGTCAAAATTTCTTATAGACTCATTCGCGTTGGTTCTTAGTCACACGTAACACCAGCAGAATACAATGTCGGCTTGAAATTCAAGTTAGAGCTATAATGTCAAGAACTACTACTTTCAACTCAAATGACAATTGGAAAGTAAAAACATCTTTCACTATCCTCTACAAGTCTCTTATATGTAAGACGAAAAAGCCTGAACGATGGCAGCATCAAATGATACGAAGATTTACGACATGCAATGACAAATATCGCAGAAACAACATTGTAGTAATGTCTTCACAGCGACTAGTGGAGAATATGAAAGGTGGTTCTCACGTGTACTTCACTGGATAATTCTTTTCCTGATACATGTAAAAAAATACATCAAAATTGGATAAATTGTTCTTAAGATAGTGATAATTAGCACAAGAATGGAGAGGACAGAGGCTTTTGTATTAAAATAATGAAAAATAAAAAAGAAATCTTTAACTTAAGTTAAACTGTGTAGTTTCAGCTAGACCTAGAGATAAACTAGTCAGTATTTTGTAGTAGTTAGGATAATCTTGGGGCATATCTTCAGCATTTTTGATATTCTGGCTATTTACCGAACCACTTAGAAATCAAAGGAGAACTAAAAAAAATGGTATTCAAATAAATATGATATTAATCGTGCTGCTCTGGGATTAAGTAAGCAATATGAATAGATTTATGGAAATATGAGGCATAATTGACGGATTCGATTACGGAGCAAAAGGTGGGAACTTGGAACAAAATATCTTTAACAAAAAAAGTATTTAGATTGATAGATGTCAGCAGATGGATTGAGCTTTTTCAGCAAGCTTCAGAAACGACAAAACTCCTTCAGAGTTACATTTCGAACTATGGTAATACCTAAAAGCAATCTGAATTAGGAGATAATGATAACATATTTTTAAACTGATTTTAGTATCATTTATCGATCTCCAACTGTAGCGAAATTATACTGCACTCAATTATGTGACGAAAGAAATGAAATATTATATATATAGTAAAAAGTATTTCATTTACATATAGAGTATTTTTTTCATATTACGTTTTCACGTTATCGTCAGCAATCAGCAAAGTATTGCAATATAAAAGCCTTAAAAATCAGTATTTACATAGTAAAACTATTTAGTATATAAAATAGAAAGCTGATAAGACGCCAAACTCATCTCGGACGACGTCAAATTTTATACAAAACTCAAGTTGCCAGAGACGTTCAAGTGCAGTCGGTCGTTTAATCAGCTCACGAGATGTTGCATTTGAGGAAGCAATTCATTTTTTCATTGCTGATAACAGCTTCATTACAAACACCAAATATTTCTGCAAATCGGTTTGAACAAACTGCGAATGATGCGGATTACCTGACCGTCATTGTGGACGAAACAATACGCAATTTAGTAAAGCAATGCAACAGAAGTAGAAGAGCGGAAATGCAAACAAGGTGGGAGACGAAAGCTTAGCAGCTAACGAAGCCATTAATAATTTACGAATTGAAATTATTCGCAGTGAACTACAACAAGAACAGGAAGTGCCAGTGACGCTGAAACAGTTGAGCGATCTAATGGAGAAAACGTAAGTTGAGACCAAGCCAATATACCTGATAGTTTCTGAAATAACCTTTATTTAACACATATTCAGCGTACGTTCACTAAGCGACTCCTTTACGAAGCGCCTGCTGTTGCGCTTTCCCAAAACCTGCGCTGACATAATACCGCCGGGTGTGCGCGACCGCGATGATGTCTACAGCTTACACATTTCCGGCTACACACCGATCAATGTCTACTGTTTATCCGATGCGGAAGGCGGTTGCCCTTGGACCGTTGTGCATAGACGACAAGATAAGAATACCGATTTCAATCTCAGATGGGCTGACTACAACGCTGGTTTTGGCGATCCCTATACTAGCTTCTTCGTCGGCATGCAATCGCTTTTTTGGTTGACGAGCGATGCGCCGCAAGAATTGCGCATAGTCATGCGTTTGAATAGCGATAGTGTGGATGAGATCGCGAACTACGATCATTTTGTTATTGGCGATGAGAGTGATCAGTACGCGTTGAAAATTTTGGGGAAGTTCAGCGGTAACGCCGCGGATGAGCTGAGTAAATTGATCGGTTACAAGTTTCGTACGTATGATCGCACGGGTTACTGTATTGGCAAGGAGAAGGTCGGTGGCTGGTGGAAGGAGGGCTGTGCTAAGAGGTGAATAAGATGTAATAATTGCTATTTGTGTTTATATTTTAATGCGTCCTCTTTAACTGGCAGTAAGTTAAACGGTATGTATGCGCCCTCAAAGTGGGAGGTGAGACAGCAGGTTGGCATTATTTGGGATAATAAGACTACATTAGGTATGAATTACTCGCTGGAATATGTGCATATGGCGATACGACCAAAATATTGTCACAAAATTAAAACGGAATTATAAAATACTATATGTTTTTTTTTAATGAGTAATAACTGTTTTGATTAACTAAGAATAAACGTAGACATAATGAAGCCCAAATCGAACTCGAAACGTCAGATTGTGCGAAACTAATAGAAGATATTAAAAGGAATACAATTATGCGACAGATGTTCAAAATGAGGCCTAAAACACTTATCACCATAAAGATCTTAAATGAAACATAGACATAAAACTTACAGGGCTCATAAGTAAATTTCTAATACAGAATATAGGAAAAAAGGTATGAAAGGATATCTAGAAGTAGAGATAGGTATAAAAAAGGAACAGAGCTGGTAGTTTTAAAATTGCAAGAAAGAAAGGAAATCGAATCTATTGAAATTAGAAACCATAGCAGATGCGAGTACAGAATATAGTACTTGTATAATATTATTAATCTAAGAAGAATAGCATCAAATAGTCCTTAACATAAATTTTTCTACTTTAGAGTCCACAGAAGTTCAATCTAATATTAATAAAACGAACGAAAAAGATGTTTTCAATTACATATAGAACAAGTTAGAAGGAATTTACTGTATTTCCTGCTTAGAAAGTTTTGAAAGATGGCAGAGGCCAACAGATGCTGAATAAGATATTATTTTTCTCTGAGAGATTTTGAGAACAAATCTGTGAGACATTCTTTGAAAGTTATGAACTCTATATATACTCTGCTATACTCTAAGGCTTGAAACCAAACTTATTGGAAAGATAATATTTACACTGATGGTTAGAAGGTTTCAATAAGAAAGATATTGAAGGAAACCAGATGATATCTGAATTTAGAAAAGTACAATCATACAATCCAGATCCAGTATAACAGAGGTAGATGAGAGTGAGTGAAAATTTTAAAAATTATTGGAGTATAATCGTAAGAAATGGCAGTGTGAGAGGAAGAGATACATATATTAACAAGAGAGTCGGATGTATATAACAGAAATTGGCTTGGCTTAAAATTACTAGATAAGTTGTTTAGGCTGGAAACTAGAACACAGAGGCCGGAGTTGTGAAATTATACAATTCTTCCGAAATAACTGTGAGATAGAGATAGATGAAAGTGAGGGAAGTATTAAAGAGGAATTAAATATATGCGCAGTATTTAGGACCATTGTGGGAGCTAGGAAGAGCAGGCTATGTTCAACATTTCTTATGGATCGACCAAACTATTTTGGTTAATGTTTTGGGTATGAAACGTGTCAATGCTAGAATTATGCCAAAATACCTGAAGCTTTTGCAAAAACGACGTCGTGTAGAGATGCTTGACAACGTAGCTGACGAGACCCCGTTCATCAAAACGCATCATTATTGCTAACGAGATGTGGGTTAACGAATACGACGCCGAAACTGATCAATCATCTAGCGAATGGCGCTACGAAAATTACTCGAAACTAAAAAACACCCAAATTTGTTGAAGGTAATTATTTTTTTCTCTGTGCGGGTTATATTTAATTACATGGGTCAATTTGATCACACAGTAAATCACCATTGGCGATGCTAGCTCGAATTCTTTAATACTATAAACCACTTTTGCATATTAAATTCGCTCATCTTAAAGCGAATGAAAAAGCGGTCGTGCTCAAAGTTCACAACTTAAGAGCTTAACTTCACCGAGAACAGGTGGTGTTTTAAACAGTTTAACAATATGCAACTATTTAACACTGACATAATAATACGATGTATATAGCCAATGATACACGTAATCTTCTGCAATCCACACTACTTTTATGTCGCTGTAAAATATCATTAAATTGCATCGTTCACGGTCGCGCAGTGAGCGCATTAAAAGATAATCTTCGATAAAGGTTAAGTGGAGGCAAGTGCTAAAGACATGCTTAAGCAAATGTGTTAAGTGATTTTAGCAGCAGCTGTTGAAAATTGCCCTGCAACGAGAGAACTACAAGGAGAGAGCACTGCTGCAACGCATTTTCGCTTATACATATACTTGCGTGTGCGCGTGAGTGTGTATGCGGATAAAAGCGTAACCTTTGCAACAATTCGCTGCACATTCAATCAACTCGCAAATAGCTAACCAGCCAACTTAGCGGTTTAATGTAAACTTCGTCCGCTAATTTATGTTGAATTATACTAGTCGTTTTCGTAAGCCACGCACTTAAGCACGATTTAACAGCATTCCTCTTGCGCTGCTGACGTTGCAGTTTTGCAGTGAAATTATTTCGAAAATTTTCGTGTGACTGTATTGCAAGCTATACGGTACATTAATACATATATTATATTTTTGCACTAAAAATCTGCTTACTTTTCTATACAAGTATATATATATATATATATATATATATGGTTGTTTGTGCCGGTAAATGTTCACCAGCTGACCATCTGTACTGCAATCTATACTACTGTATGCAGTAATTGATTTTAATTCGACAAAATGACCGAACAAGTTTCCCACGACGCACTTTACAATACTTAACTGTACACAGAGGTAGGGACATACAAGAATACATATGTATTTTATGCACAAATTGGGAACATATTTGCAGCCAGCAATAAAGAAAGGTATAAAATCTGTAATGTGAATGTAATACGTATGCAGGAATGGAGCGTAATGGTAAAGGAGGAAGGAGCGTTTGAAAAGAATTATATTATAGAAAGAAAGAAGACAAAACAAAGTACAAATATGAATAACAGTAACTGTATTCCATCGTATAGCAAAATAAGTAAAAACAGTTGCACCGAAGCTATAATAAAAAAGGTTTCCTCACGAGAACTTGATTTTGATCAATTAGCTTGTATGGCAGGTATAGGTATGCTATAGTAGTCCGATCAGAACAATATATTCGCAGATTGTAGCGTTGGTTTAGAGAATAAGCTATGCTAAATTTCGTGAAGATATCTTGTCAAATAAAAAAAGTTTTCCATACAAGAACCTAACTTTGATCGGTCAGTTTATATGACAGCTATATGATATAGTGGTCCGATATCGGCGCTTACAAAAAATGGGCAATTTTTTGGAAAGAAAAGAACGTGCGCAAAATTTCAAATCAATATCTCAAAAAAGGAGGGACTAGTCGTCTACATACAGACAGGTAAGCGGACATGAGTAAATCGACTCTTGCGCTGATCTTTCACGTATACAAGTATATATACTTTAGAGCGGAGACACTATCTGTTCTTTTCAAGATTAAAAATACTACCTACTACTACCACCTCAATAACCGATACCAGATATTAAGGAAGAGCACCGAGTAAGAAAAAAATGTTGAAACTGAAACGCTAAAAGCGACGGCTCTTTAGCTCGAACCCACGAACCAACTAATAGGTAAACAACAGTTTAAACCTGATAACGAATCAAATTTCTAATAAGCCGTTGAATAATATTATTAATATAAAACGGTCTTTTTTATTGATCTAGTTCGATCATCATCAATCTGACCTGGAAGTTAGTGCATGATATCAGATCAGGTACTGGAGACTTAATAATGAAAACAATGCCGCAGTCAATGTAAAACTAAAGCTTCTTTGGGTTCTTCAGCCATGTCCGACAAGCCGACCTAATAGCTTACAGTGGTTCAATAAAAAAAAAATCATTCAAAGAAGAAAATTTATTTTGCATTTAATATCTTAAAGTTTAGTCCAAATTGACCAAAAGTGGGTAGCAGGGTGACAGTGGAGAGTGTGCCAAGGTACAAACGAATTCAGTTCTACTGGGTGTCAGGTCACAAAGGCATTGGGGGCAATGAGATAAAGGATGAGATTACCAAGAGTGGTGTACAGCTATCATCCGGAAACGTGACCGACTTTGATAAACCCATGCAGTGTCTATACGATATTCTAGACAGGAGTAGGTGGGGAGAAAAACTGGAAAATTCAATGTGTACATCAGAAATACAAGAAATTCCTACTGTCGCTCGATAGAAGGTACTGTAGGAAAACTCACTGGTCATAGTGTGGTCGCAGTACGTCTGTAAGATGGGGCCGACAGATCAAAAAGACTGCAGGAAATGTCAAGAGGAAGGCACCAGGAAACAATGGTATTGCTAGTGAGGCCACAGAACTTGTTAGATCTCCTCATACACTCACCTTACCTAGCCTAAAATAGTGTTCTACTTTGTGCACATACTGTTGTAATTATTCAGATTTCGAGCTTAAAGAGTGAACATGTTTATGATAAAACAAACTTGTGGAAGATATTTGGAGTGGTTTACATTATCCGACACTTGAATAAGCATCTGAATGATACTCAGAAAGTTTGTGACTCACACATTATATGTATAAATTGCGGTCAATAGTAAATTATTCCACCTTTCACATTTTACTCAATTCTCTCTTGAGCCGCAGGAACGGTGGTAAGGCTTATCAAATAATAAATGTGTTATGCTCAGAATTTTAAAAATTATGCCAAGCATGACAACTTCATTGTGCTCAACTCCCTTTATAAACATGTACTCATACATATCCCTAAAAAAATACATACATTAAAACAATAATCATAAATAACCAGCCGCAATACAAGAAATTCCATATTTTCGAATGCCCGCAAAGATTACACTGACACTTCTAATCGAATAAAATCTTTATTCCATTGAACTTGGTCGAAAAAGATCACATCCATAAACTATAAATACAGAAAAGAGCAGAAAAAAACAAAGAGTACGCCATAAGAACGCGAAAGTATGTCAAGTCTTTTCATGTGCCACCCGTTTTCTATGCGCGGCATGTTACAATTTACGCATTTTACGTTACTTGCATTTTAATGAAAATCCAGTTGGCATCGAAAGAAGCGAAAAGTGCAGAGTAACAATAAAAGAAATGTATGAAGAGACTACTTAAGTGGGGTTCGATTGAAAATTGGTTATATATACACGCAGCACTCTAATCTCTTCGACAAGCACAAAGTCAGTATTTTAGTGTAATTTAAAATCACTAAATCGCTGCTGAATGTCAAATGTTGTGGTTATTTACATTTATGTTATTTTGACATTTTATTCCAACTTTGCCGCCAGTTAAACGATAAAGTCGCGTTTAAAAAGTGTTTTTAAAAAATATAACATGTCGACTAGATACGGTTGTAGACAAAGACATTTCAGGAATTCGGAGATTATGTGAGGTGAAATTATGTAACTTAATTTAATTTCATCAAAACTTATGCAAGAGTAAGAAGAGCTCTCGTTTGACATTACTCAATACATTTGTGATTTGCATAAGCGAAATAAGTGTTAAATTTTTTAAGGTTATGTAAGATGGAAAAAAAGCTTTTTGCAATAAATTAGTTCCAACACCAATGAAGATATTGTAATAAAACTTTACACAATGGACTATAGCTTTCACAGTCCCCAGATATCGAGTATGAGGACCTGTAGGTCTATGGTTCGCTTTATACTGAAAATGTCGGCTACTACTGTAAGAAGTTTAAACGAAATTAAGTGGACACATTTTCTTAATAGAAGTGACGTCTGTTGCTAAAAATTAATTAAATCGGTTTAGTACGTCTCTCAGCCCCCATATACTAAATATAATGATTTTCGAACTTCCGGTTGACTTTAACATAAATATACATATATGGTATATATCAGTCAATATATAAGTTATTTCAATTAAGGCAGATGAAAATATTTCCCAATTATACTTTAATAGAGTGCCAAAAGTAAGTTATATCAGTCCAGAATTTCCCCTAGCCACAATCATCTCTGTACAGTTACTTACTATTTTTTGAGGCTATGTCATTTGCTATTTGAAACTACATATATCAAGCCGTTATTCAATACAAAACACCATGTAGTCAACTATTTGACTTTTTTCAAGCTATTAACTGTTACCCATCATTTTTTGACTCCAATCATTGTTAAATAATACGTTGTAAAACTCTCTTGTGCAATTCGCTGTTAATTTTGACGCCAGAACAATCAAAGTTAAGCAACCATCAAATAGCACCGTTGGACACGTGACCGTTGGAGAGACAAAGTTCATTGGACACTAGTCAGCTGGCGTGGGCTGTAAAATGGCAAATTATATAGAAATATATAGGTTTAAAAAACAGAGGCACCACAAAACAACAACGAAGTCTGTATACACCATTGTCGTGGTTCCAAATCAATACAAAAACAACGTTTCATACTAGTATACTATCGGCACGCATTGGAGCATGAAAAGCATTTTCTCACATCCAAGAAATGATTTCCAAACCACTGCGTTAATATTCACACCTTTCGGATTATACGCATACATACAGACATATGAGAAGTATATGGCCGCTCCTAACTAAACCAGATGCCGCCACTTAGAGTTCATTAACGAATTCACTCACGTCTTATCCACGCTTGTTATAAAAATAGCTTGGAGGGGAATATACAAAAAGGCAAAGTAAGTGTGTTTATAATATGCCTGTTAGCAGATATAAGTATATACACTATATATGTACGATATGTTACATTGTTTAAATCTCATTGCTTGTTATTCCTTTCGGTTAACTTTACATGGTAGTATTTTAATCTCAAATTCTAAAGCCCTAATGGTGCAACGTTTGCGGCCTAAAAATAAAAAAGTGTAAGATTTTTAAAGCTTCTTATCAAATGACTTAGCTTATGGTACATAAAAATACATTTTATATTTTTATTATTATGGATAAATAATATTTAACAGTTCGTTCTTTAAAATGGTACAAATATTTAAATTATTTTTTATAAAACAGTTATAGGCATTGTATTAGAAATAATTAAATCTTAATCTCTTACGAAAGACGTCGCTTGGAGTTGTATATAGAAACACATATTGTTTGAAATTTGAAGATGAAAAACACCAAAAACCAGTATTATTCCACTAAAAGAGTTAACAGGCAAAAAGATTCATAGAGTAATGGAAATATACGAGCATATACCTATTTATGTGAGTTTCAAGCGCAAAGCTCTCTACACACGCATCTCAATATGTTTGAATTTTATTCGGTGAAGTCTGCACCAATCACTTTTACCTTGAAGAGTGTTGCAGAAAACGTTCTCTGACGTTGTCCATTCAATATATGACGTATAAAGAAGCAATTAAAGCGATAAACTGACAAATGTGGAATAATTGTATCTCAAATCTCTTTTGAATAAAATCAGATTGATAAGTGGATAGGCTCTTTCTTAACTCATCTATTTGGAGCGTTCTAAATTTTCAAAGAGATACACCGGACACAATAAGTTCTAAAGAAAATGTTTGAATTCGTCTCAAAGTTAGGACTTACAGATCTCTACACCCACTTTATTACCTATGTTCATGCTTAATTGGCAGTTCAACCGAGAAAAGGGAATACATGAGGAACATTTTCATTCACCAATAGTGAAGAATGGATCAATGGTTCTGTGATCGACAGTTGCAACGGTGAAATATTTCTATTCAGAAGTTAGCTTCAAATAAAATGACTACAATTCAGTCTTTCAGGCCGAAAATGTTAGCATAACAGAAAGTACCAAGTATACTTCTGCTCTCACCAGCAAATCCATTAACGTCCGAGTGGATGGCCAAGCAGTAATTAAGGCTATCGGTAGCGCATATAGCACGTCTTACTGCATTAGATTAAGCAAGGAGGCAATAAATAGACTCTCAGTAGGAACCTCGGTTAAAATAATATGTGGACATAGTTATATAGGCATAAAAAGAAACGATAATTCAAACGAGTTGGACCGCTCAGGGTCAGCCAGAAACACAATTCCCCTAAGTTGCCCTAGGCCATTCAGCATATTCAAAGCTTGCTTAAAACAATGGATCCGTAGGTAACACCTCAGTTCTTGGTACAACAAAGCAGCACAGGGCTTACCACAAAGGTACTTTGGGATAGTGTTGATGGTAGACATACCAAAACGCTTCTACTTTTAGGCAAGAGGGCCCTAAAGTCCCAGCTTCAAAAAATTCCAATACTCCTACTTTAAAGACATTTGTCAACTGGGGTGGAAAGCAATCACGTATTTTACCGAATCCACAGAGTTGCCGAATAAGGCCTTGCTGGTTACCACTCACACAAATGGCCTCAGTAAGTTCGGCCGCCTGCGGTCTGACGCTCCAGCGTCTCCCTTTTCAACCAAACAATGATAAAGAAATAAGAAAAATACACCAGAGGCTTTTACTGAAAGTTAGAATTTATAATTTACAACCGTAGCACACCCCTCGGGAGCACGCTACAATTCAAGTAAAGGAGAGGTGGCAAAAACTGTTATAAATAATAAGTATATTAATATACTATATAATGAAATATACACCAAATAATTTTGTATATAACTACGAGTACATTTTCTTTAATACAAGAACCAAGAATTTCCACTCAGCTGCTCAATTTTTCAAAATTTTTACGCCCACTCATTTTCACACCTCAAAGTAAACTCCTCACCTCAAATTCCTGGCCTCAACTGCTTGCTTACTTAAAATAAATACTTAATAACTGTATACTAATATATGTACATATGTATATGTATAAATGTTTAGGCCTATTATATTAATCTACTCACGTAATTTGGAGCGCTTGCTGCAATCAATGTTGTATGGCAGATCGCATTTTTCCTCCAGAGGACTGTAATCATTGAAGACCATGCCATCGGCACAGAGGCGTTCAGTCGACTTGCCCTCGCTGCAATTAATTAATACATATGTAAGTACTTAGGTACATATACGTATATAGGGGTGTAGGAAATCAAAGGAAGCAGCAGACATATTTTATTATTGGAATTATTTGTTGTTATTGTTGTGGGTATGGCGAAAAGCGTTAATTATTTTTATAAATATTGCTGTCGAAAAAACAAGGCAGACGCCTATAACGGTGTGACTAAGTGTTGCCACTTATTGTGTTTAACACAATGGGTGCGGTGGTTAGCTGGTTGACTAAGTGCTTTGGCGTTTATTAATTTGTTAGTGATATTAAATGAGCTGTGTATAATGCGTTCGCTATATTTTCTCGCTTTAATTGCTTTTTATATAAATTTATTTTTAAGCGTGAACAAGCAAAAGTTTGGAAAGGGTTTTAAGCACATAAGAAAACTGTAAATTTTTTTTATACGACAAATTCAGTTAGAGTTTATGTTAGCTTATAAAATTATATATTTTTTTGGACTCACTAGCATGAATGGTATTTGTCGCATTGCTCCAAGTCAGGGAAGAAACCGTTCGCTTCTGGACATTCGTCTGTTGGCTCGTAGCCCTCTTCCGTTGGTGGTGGATCTGTTGGTCGTTTTGGCAGATGTCGCTGTGAAGTTGGATGTCCGGGGCCGTTGCGGAAGTTACTACGTTGCGCTAAGGCGGTGCCTATGTAAAAAGTTATGTAAGAAGTTAAAAATATATTTTTTTGGAAAAATTTAATCTACAGAAATTTATACCACACATTCGATATTATTTAATTAAATATATTTAAATTAAATGCATCTTTTGAGAGTTTAATATATTAATTTAAATTAATAACTTATTATTATTTCATTTTGAATTTTAATCATAAATTTTTCGTTCATTTGTTTTATCACATCTTGCATACAAATTTTGGTTATAAATTTTAAATTAAAATTTATGTTTTATGTTTACATATAATTTTTACTTTAATCTAAAATATTTTTTTATGGTTTTAATTTGCAATTTGAATTTTGTATATTTTTAATTATTATTTTTTTTTTTGTGATAGTTTTAGAATTTAATTCAATATTTATAAATTTAATGCAGATATCTTACAAACAACTAAAGCTATATCAAACAAATTTCTTTGGAACAAATCGACACTTCTTCCGACAATGTGAAAATGGGTGAAACGAGGTGATAACCCCGTTTACTTCCCATATAATAGTTATATTGGGAACCACTGGAACTGCGATAACTCACGTCAGAAGCATCAAACTTCACGTCTTACATTAGACAGAGAGGCCACATAGGAGCCGTTGACAAAATTGGACAATGGGCGAGGCGCGAGCCACCTTTGAGTAAATACCTACATTTCTGTAACTACTCGACCAATTTCAACCAAATTTAGTGCATTAAATTGTGCTGACGTTCATTATACATATATAACAATTTTAAATTCCATATTGATTTTAAATTATACAACATAAAAATCGAGAGCCATTGACGTTATCGAAAAAAAAAATTTTGCACAAATTGTGTCTTGAAGTAAAAATTGGCAAAATCGGACTATTACTTTTCAACCTCCCAGGACCCCAGTGCCTCTGTCTAAATTTTTAATGAAAACATCGGTCAATCCGAACTAGTATTGTAATTCTTTTTATAATAACAACATGTCATGTGTCGAAAATAGGTTATCTTAATAAAATTCGGAGAAAATCTCTTTCAAATAACAATGTACCCTTGTCATAACATGGATAAAATCGGGTGAATACTTGCCCTAGTAGCCACGCATATATGCCGTTTATATCAAAAAGTGAAATATCTCAGCAAAATTGAGTGTACGTACAGGACTGGATATAATAAAGTTTAGTGTCGAAAATGTGTGAAATCGATACTTGAATTACCACAGCGCCAAAATACTTCATATCATAATTTTCTTTATTCTAGCAAATTCTATACTAAATGTCTGCGCCAGTGTGTGAGTTAACTTCATAAAATTGCTTGGAAACATGTTCTGTTTTCGAATGAATTGAGAAGAGAGTAATGCGTTTTTAACGTTTAACGTTAATGCAATCAGTGCAAGCCTTGCTCTAGTTGATGTTTTTCACATACATATACTTAATAAATTAAATTAAACATCTTTGGTTGTGTTCACTTAACATATAACATATTCCTTACTTGTTTTTTTTTTTAATTAAATTGTGTCTATTTTATCAAACATCAGTTATATACCTGTTGCATGTTGCTGTCAAATGTTCTGCATCATTTTATGTTTAGCACACATTTTCCATTTCATTTTATAATTTTTACACCCACACCCGTCAGTTTTCGATTTCTAACAACCAACGAGCAATTTCTCTTTTCTCCATTTGTTTGTTGCTTTTTATATGTATCTATATTGGTATTTGTTTGCTTATCCGGCTGTCAATTCGTCTGTCTTAAGTAGTTTTACGTGCAGCTGCCACTTTCCACTGGCAACTTGCCACTTTACGTCTTACTGTTATTTACGCAATTACTTGCAACACTGCATACGCGTATTTGTTGCTTACCACAAAGTTGTTTTCATAGAAAATACTTGTGTACTTTCAATATGTGTTTTTGCTCTTTCTCATAAAAGTAACTACTTTGTTTCCATAAATATGAGTTGCTAGAAAGTGCTAAATCGTTCAGATGAAATGAGAAAAATGCTCAAAAGATGGAAAAATAAATTTAGACTCGCTATAAAAATAAAATTTTATTAGTATAGATAGACCAAAAAGATTAGATATGTCAAACAAAAGCAAAAAGGAGCTTGTTTCACAGAAGCGATTGAAGAACTTATAACAGTATACATAGGGGAAATTATCAACAAATGTTAGTAAATTCTCTAAAAGTGTAGTTTTATCATTCCTTGTCGGATCTTATCTATTATAATATGTATTGAAGATTTCATTCGTAGCGTCCGCTCACATGGACTAAATTATAATATTTATAAATCTGATGAGAATTAAAGTTAAATTTTAAACAAACGAACGAAATCAAACATATATAAAGCACAAGGCGAACTCTAATAATAATTAGAGTCTAATTATTGACAGTTTTACTGAAATATGTTGCTTTGAGTTGTAGAAGATAGGTATGTTAAAATTCGTGATAGTCGAGTATATAAACTGACTCTCTGGGCTTAAATTTTTCCGGCAAAAAGGATAACTTTACAGCATCGTACTAATTGGTATATATGAAACATCGCATTAGATTAGATTAAACAAATGAGAATATATGCAGATGCCCATTTCACACTCCTTCAAACATTTATTTTCTTATTATTTTATTGCGAGAAAAAAACTATTATTACTAGCTCATCTCTACATATACACGGTTAGCCGGCTTTCATGAGTTCAACATTTGAGCAAACTGTTTGCACTCCCGTCACATCTGTCTTTGTTTGAAGAGAACAGGTGAGTGATTATCACAAAAAAAGTAGTATTTCCAAAATATATCAGCTATGCTGCAATCTAAAAATAAATTAAATTAGTAACTACTTACAGTATTTTGACGCGTAACACATCTTTCTAAATCATTAGAGTAGATGCTAATGCATTGTCTTGGCCCACTTTCGCTCAAAACGCTTCATCATTAATTACGAATTATCGCGGCCTTTGACGTTGACACATACAAGCGCATACACTTTTACAGCTATGCCACGCAAATTATACGGATTGCACTTAACCGATTACAAAATTACCGATATGGGAATACTATGTAAGTTATGTGCTTGCTATAATTCCATTACTCTTGTATGTATTAGAAAGGCCCAAAGGGGATATCAATGGCATATATATATTATGTATGAACTGGAATGGAACACATTTGTGTGTGGCTATATGTGGTTGCATATTAAAATCGCCGAGATATCTACGAGCTAATGTAGAAGTAACTTTATGTATGTAATTAAAATTGCGCTTGTGACACAGTTACACACAACTACACGCACACACGCTTCTTTGGCTATAATACTATCTGCTGCAACCGGCAGTCGATTTTACATTCATTGCAGTTTACATAACCTCAAACTCAAGCCGAAGGCGACAAGTGCATGCGCTTAGCAGCGTGTTTGACATTTTCAAGTGGCACTTAATTAATCCCAAAACGCTAATTTTAGCATCAGCAACATGTCGCGTCACCAGACCACCAAGCAGTTGCAGGCAAGTGCAACTCACTATGTCTGATTGTATATAAAATGTAGATATAAATATGTATGTACATATGTGTCAAAGCGCCACGCCCCCGGCTTGAACATAGTTCAACAAGCTTCTAGCAGAAATGCGAAAAATTTTGTGTTATAAGCGTTTGATGTTATCAACTAAAATTGCGACACGCATACTAAATGCTAATTTGCTTGACGCAGGGTTGCATTTCGTCTTGACTACATGAGAATGTTGCCTAACGATATTACCAAGTTTACGCATTTCTTCATGGTAATCACTAAGCAGCAAAGTTAGTTCGTTGGAAATGCAGCATTATGCCTCCATGCCGCGACAACAAGTTTACCGTTGATCCAGTTGTTGTTATGAGCTCGCATGCATCTCTAGCCTAACGTCTTTGACTTGCATGTATCAATTGGAATCCTTGAGGTGTTGAGTGCATGTCGATGGCGTAACGATGGTGGCAACTTTGAACATTATTAGCAATAGTTTATAAAATATCTACCTAAAAGCATCAATATGCACAGGTTTACAGGATTTAAGCGCTTTGTAGTAAAATAGGCCAACTTCTTTTAAGATGAAAAATTTATGAACTTCAGTGAAAGGAATAAGCTTTTAATCCAAGCAACACTAGGTTAACATCTACGACATTTGATACAAAAGTTTTTTGTCTTTTCGGAAAGCACTTCAAATCGGATCTCAAGTACCGACAAAGCCTAAGATCAGAGAGAGAATGACAATTTAGGGCGCTAGAAATTCGAGAGAGGTTAACTTAAGACTTTCAATTTCGAGAAAAAAGAAGGATCCAGAAGAAGCGTTCTAAATAAACGAAAATCTTAAAAGTGATTTGATACATATTTCGCCCTTAAGAACGCGATGTGACCTATCTAAGTTTAGCCTACGAGTCTTCATTATAATCTGAAAAGTGGTGGAAAAGAAGAAATCATTAAAAAAACTGAGGTTATAGATAATTATTTTAATGATTTCCCATCCTAGTTTATAAACATTATCTTCACAGACCATTATAGCATTTCAAAACTTTTTAAGATTCCTTTAGAACACTCTCTAAACTTTAAAATGGATCTATATAGATTGCTACGAAATTAGTAAGACCAGACCTTTAAGATGACAGAAACTTAAGGCTTTAACTTTTGGGAAATTTGTTAAAAAAAAAAAAGAAGGTCCGTGGAAACAATCCAAATAAGTGGCAAATTTAAAAGAGACTTGATATATCTTCTGCCTTACATTCGCGAGAAGACCAACACAAGTGGAGCCCACGTGGCTTCATTTTAATCCAAAAAGTAGTAAATATGAATTAATCATTGAAGAATCTGAGGTTAGACAAAATTTTTAGTGCTTACCCTCGCTATTTTATATCAGATATCAAATAATTTAAAAAATCTGAGGCTATATATAACGATTTTAGTGCTAGGTTATATCATTAGCTTCTCAAGTCTTCATAGTTATGTTTTGAATTCGAAAATATATTATGGCGATTAGGATGAAGAGATCACA